ACTGGGATTCGAACCTGGGCAGTATTACATATTAGGCAGATGTGTTAACCACTAAGCCACAAGGTTCTCCTCCTTTATCAGCTATATATATATATTCACCTCAGTTAGAATTATATTTTTCAAAACAAAATAATCACTTGGCTTAATGACATAGGTACGTACATGGCAAAATAGTATACTACCAACAGCAAGAAATTCTTTCTCAGTTCCTTGAAGAAAGACAGAATATAATTTAATGAAATATAGCATAAAACCTAGTTACTGCTTATGATTAAAAACTTCGAACATAATACCTCAAAGCTAACACTGAATTGTTTCCCAGATCTTTTAATTTAAAAGCCATGGGCAGAGCCGAGTAACTCCAAATTACACCCAAGCACTGTTGTTTACAAGCTAGCATACTGAATATTTGTATTTTTTTATATTGAAAATGTGGGTATGTATTTAAAAATATTAAGAGCTAGTTTAGGGTAGCAACTGGGAGACCATGAATTCTAGTTCCACCTTAGGCATGAAGCCAGCCAGGTGACCTTGAGACCAGTCATTATCTCTCAGGCGTAGAAAGAAGAAAGCAATGGTCAACCATTTCTGCAAATGGTGCCAAGAAAACTGCAGAGACTTGCCCAGGCAGTCACCAGTAATCCAAGTCACACAGACTTCTATTATGTGCCTCTGTATCCTCCCTTCCTGTTTTGCGCTTTCCTTTTTGTTTCCCCCGTGACAGAAAAACAGAATCTGGTGAAGTGAAAACATCTAAATCGCTTACTTCCAAGATTTCCATCAGTTTTGGTCAAAATTTAACTTGCAGCATCCTATAGGATTATGCTGGAACCGATAGATTTCCCAGTCCTCACCTATTTCCACTGAAACTGATGAAACATTCAAAGGTGCTTTTGTCTACCATATTCAGTGATGTTTGATAACAATTACCATCTTCCTTCTTATCAGTTCTTAGTGGTTTTGATGGAAATTAAACTTCATATAGTTCAGTGGGGCTTACTGCTCCAATCTTGCAAAATTAATTGAACTGAAGGATCAGCCGGGTTGAGAGTCACCATGTACCTTATGCCTCTAAAAAAAGTAGTATTGTAAATTTGGGGGTAAATATATACAATTATGTACCATCAAGTCATTTTCAACTCCTATCAAACCCATAGATTTTTCTCCGTGATAAAGATACATAGCTAATATTTATACGTGTTGCACATATTGATAAGTTTTTCAGTCCCAGGCAAATTATTAAACAAGTGCTGATATCAAACCTGGTTGATAACTCAATTCTCTATTAAGCCAAGTAAAAACTTTTAATATTTACCAGCACTTGCACAAAATATTTCAGCTGGTTATTCAAATCATCTATATTACTCCCTGTCTTTTGCCGCTAAAGTTACCTGAAATGTACCAAAGTATCTTGACAGTCCTTGTACCGAAAATCCACCAACACTTTAATCCCCAAATGCTTACAAGTTTCAAATTACCCAAAGTGAGTTTGTGCAATGTTGCTCCTGTAAAGGTATTGAAGCCTGCCATTTTCCCAGGCAGGATTTCATCCAAGACTCTAAATTTCTTTACAAATATAACTAGTTGCTGTTCCTTTAAAGGCTGACCTACTACCAAAAACAGAATGAATCATAAAATCTCTTATAACATCACCTGCAGTAATAGGTATTACATTTTACTGTAATACTTATTACTGCAGTGATGCTATAAGATGGTAAATACGTATTTACCATTGGGCAGAAGACACAGAAGTAAAGCTAGCTGGACAAACAAGATTAAAAACAGCTTTTATCCATGGGCTGCCAGACTCCTAAATACAACTACAATCACTCCATACATACATGGAAACATATGACTGTTTTCTCCCTAATTACTTGTATAAGGACCATTTTCTATATTATTCATGTTGTTTTATATTTTGTTATGGATTGCACCAGTAGAGGCTAAATCCATTTTGTTGTATATATGTACAGTGACAATATAGATTGTTGTTGCTGTTGTTATTGGTGAGTTTTCAGGAGACAACTGGACTTTCTTGCTGACTTTCTTGGATGAGAAGCGAAACTTCTTCCAAAAAAAACCAACAAGAAAGTCCTGTTGCCTCCTGAGAAAGCACCTTTGGGACAACCATGACCTGGATGACTGAGAATCTCTACAGACATGTTATGTTGAATATCTAACCCTGTAAACCTACCAAAAGACTATTATGGCCTTTATTACTCTAAAGAAATGTAAGGGGAATATAAGTAAATTGTTGATTCTCTGGTTTTTATTCTTACAACTTCCAAAGAACACACCTGTGTAGGTACAAAAATATCTGCCACCCCATAACCAACCTGACAGCCTCTTTGGGAAGGAAGGCAAGTTCCTCTACCGCACTTGATGCTAAACTCGCATTAAAAAGATACAGCTACTCATCTGAAAAGGGGAACCTCAACCAACAAATGCTCTGTCTTACACATTGGCAGAAAAAAATCAGAACACAAAATACAAGCTGAGAGGACAATAACCTCGTAGACGACCCCCACACTGTCAAGGACCTTGGGAGTACTCATCTCAAGTTCCAGAGCTCACTGTAACAGCATTACACAAAAGGCATTAAGAGTTGTCAACCTAATCTTGTGAAGCTTCTCCTCCGGTAATATTGAACTGCAACTAGGGCATACAAAACATTTGCTAGACCAATTCTCGAATACAGCTTGTCTGTCTGGAATCCGCACTGCATATTGGACATTAATACAATCGTACGAGTCCAGAGATATTTCAGGAGAAGAGTCATCCGCTCCTCTGCTCACAACAGAAAACCTTATGCCACCAGACTTAAAATTTGGGGCTTAGACAACTTATAACTTCGCTGCCTTCAGTCTGACCTAAACATAGCACATGACATTATCCACTACAATGTCCTACCTGTCAATGACTACTTCAGCTTCAACCACAACAAAACACCAGCACACAATAGATACAAACTTATGGTAAACTGCTCCAAACTCGATTGCAGAAAATAGGACTTCAGCAACAGAGTGGTCAACGCCTGGAATGCACTACCTGAATCCGTGGCCTGGAATGCACTACCTGAATCCGTGGTTTCTTCCCCAAACTTTAACTTTAGACCGTCTACTGTCAACCTCACTCCAAGCCTAAGAGCGCGCATAAGTGCACCTTATGCCACCAGACTTTTGAAATTTTGGGCTTAGACAATTTAGAACTTCGCCCTCTTCAATCTGTCCGTAGTTCATAAAATTATCCGCTACAACGTCCTACCTGTCAATGACTACTTCAGCTTCAACCACAACAACACACAAGCACATCATAGATACAAACTTAGGTAAACTGCTCCCAACTTGATTCCTAAGAGGTCTTTAAGGAGGCTACGAGACAGGCAGGTGGCCAAACCTTTGGCTAATGGGACTCCGAGGGCATCAAGACACCAAACGGCTTCCAGATGGTTTTAAAATGTGGGACTGTATAATTTTTTTAAAAATAAATTGTCCTATTATAAAATTTAAAATTAAACCGCCTCTCGAGATACCCGAAAAGGGAAGGGAATCCTTATCGCCGCAGCAGCAGCTGCTGACACGGACTGCACGGACGGGGGAAGCGCTTCGCCAAGGTCAGCAACAGCAGCCGCCGCCTGGGAGAAGAGGCGCCGGCGGAGGGGAGCCCGGACAGCCCGCGGACGCCGATCCCCGGGCCTGCGACGGCGCCCCCAGGAAGGGACGGAAGGGACCCCCGGGAAATCCAGGCCTAAGGACCGGAGCCCAAACCCCGCATCGCTCCCTTCCCGCTGCCGCCTTACCAGACGCCTTCTCGCTCCGGTGTCCCGATGCTGAGCGGGGGTCGGAGGGAGGCAGGGAGGGAGGCCCCACGGTGCCGCCGGCGCCTCCGGGAATCCCGCCTCCTCCGCCGCGGTGGCCGCCTCCCCGCTCCGCCTCTCCGTTTTTTCCGTTTGCCCTTTGCCCTTATGACGTCATCATCGCAAGAGGCGCCGCCGGCCAATCAGAGGCCGTCTCGGCCGCGAAGGTCGCCCTCGTCGGCCCACGCTAAGTCGACGTGAAGGAAAAATGGGCGGGTCTCGCTCGTGCCCCCCCCAGTGCACTCTGGGCAATGTAGTGAATGGGAGGCACGTGATTAGGAAGGGAGCCGGAGCAGAAGAAGAGCTCGAAGGAAATCGCTATGAGATTTGTTGGGGGNACCTACCTACCTACCTACCTACCTACCTACCTACCTACCTACCTACCTACCTATCACCGTGTAAGGAATTTTAACTTAAAAAAATATTTCTGGTGATTTTACGATCTTAAAACAGAACATGAGAATCAGGTTGGAAATTAATAAAGTTTTAATTCAGGAAGAAGTTTAGATTGGCAGAAAGCCCTTTGGTATGAAATGCATTAGCAGCAACAGGTAATAAATATACTCACAAAAACAAGGGAGAGGGCAAAAACAAGGGATTATTTAATATTAAAAAGTAACTGTACATCTTGGATACCGGGAAACAAAAGAACTGCTCCCCACCCCCCACCCTCCATGGCTATTCAAATTCACATCCATGTAGCGCTTGGCGTACTTGTAGAATCTTGCATACGTATATCTGTCTTTTTTTAAAAAAAGTTCAAAGGCACTTGGGCAGAATATAGTCTCTTCTCCATCCACAAGAAGCAACCTGGCAGGTGTTTTCTCTACAAGCAAAAACCAGATCAACCAACTGAAGAAAAAGATTCTACTGTGACAGCATGGATTTTTTTTCAGAGCTTTATAGAATTCTATATTCAAACCTCTTTCCCACCCGCCCGATTCCACAAAAGGTAGAAAAACCAGATGCAAGGAGGTTTCTCTCCCCCCCCCCATGAGACAAGGACACAGCAGCACATTTTAGGACAAAGGTAAAGGTTTTGTTTCAAATCTTTGCTGTAGAATCCAGGTTCTTAGGAGACAGTCTTGCATGGATTCTTACTTGGAAATTGGTCTTCGGTATTAAAAATTGACTTTTGGCGGGAGGAAAATCTGGTGTGTTGTTAAGCAAAGAGAACTGTTTCCTGTCCTTTTGGAAATCCATCTGAGCTTCCAAAGCGCTTTCTTTGGCTGTGCCCTCAAGACACATGTAGCTTCTTTGAATTTCAGCCATCAGTTAGCAGAAGGAACATCTCCGCCATTAGTACCATCCCCGTTCTCACTGCTTCTGTGGCAAAGAATCTGGAGCCAGCCCCATTCCTCATGTTTCTCATTTATTCTGGCTGAGTCGTTTGAAGAGAACAAGTACAGAAATCCCATCCCTGGTCTTTTTTCCTTCCTTTTCCTTGCTCCATGACTAAATAATTTAAAAAGGAGCACTGTGACCCATTGGTTGTCTTAGTGGAAGCATTTCAGTCTCTTAAATAAGCTTCTTTAATTATAATTATTACATCGCCATCATCAACAACATCAACATCTTCCTCTATTTATTTATACAAATATATATAAAATAGATTTATATAGATTTATTATCATATAGATTTGTAGGTCTCGTGGGCTTTTCATTTACAGACATACTGGTCGACAATCTCTGTGCACTTTTTACACTTGACGTAACAGCACCAATGGAACTTGCAGTGGCAACGCTCAACTTGCACACTCTTGAACTGGTCATAGCCCCGGCCGCAACACATCAGCTCGCATCCATCCATGCCCTCCGAAGTCTTATTACACAACCGCCCTTTTGTGCCCAGGGAGCCAGTCGTCTCATTACGCAGGCAATAGTCCGGACTGGAGTCAATGTAGACCAGGTCCTCAGGGGTGGGTGAATTGAAGCGGTTGTTCACTAGCTCCAGCTTGCCTTTGCGGCCGATTCTCATGGCGGCAGCGCTGTCGTATTTCTCCTTCAGAAACTCCCCCACTTTGCGGAAGTCGGCCAGCTGCAGCCAGCACGTCTTGAGGCTGCAGGACCCCGAGACTCCGTGACACTTGCAAGCCACATCAGCCAGCTTGTACACCGCCTGTGGAAGAGAAAACCCATTGGGTCAATGAAACACCTAAAAGCGGGACGACCTAACGACATAGTACACTTGCTGATCAAAGGTGGTGTCCAGCCAGTTCTGACAGGTTCTGGAGAACCAGTAGCAGAAACTTTGAATAGTTTGGAGAACCGACGCAGGCTGGCCCCGCCCAATGCCTCCCAGCCTCCCAGCTGATCTTCTTTTGTTGCCCTGAACAGGAGAAGGAGCTGAAAAACAGGTTAGGGGAGGGAATGAGAATTTTGCAGTATCCTTCCCCTGCCACACCCACAAAGCCACACCATGCCCACAAAGCCACGCCCACAGAACTGGTAGTAAAAATGTTTGAATCCCACCACTGTTACTGATGCGGAAGACACTTCCATTGTGCTGAGTGGGTGAGTGTAGAAAATACTGCAGGCTTTCCAGAATATTTGTTTTATGATATTTAGAGCTCATCCTTTATTTTTCCTCTAAACCGCTAAGAGACGTATATGCAGCTTCTCCTGTCTAATTTATGCATTTCTCTACTTCATTTTTACAGGATCGTGTTTTTAACAGAGTACAGGATGGGACGCTCCCATTTTCTTCAATAAGTGTATGCTTACAGAGTTGTTGTTTTTTTAATGGCCATTGAAACCCACAGAGCAAGCCAAAGGCCAAATGTGTCTCTAAAGCTGCAAATTGCTTGCTTTGATATACAGGATGCTCTCTGGGTAGTTGTGCCGAGAGGGAGTACAGATATCCTTGATTTATGTCCGGTCGCTTAGCTACCAGTCAAAGTTACAATGGATCTACAGGAGGGAGGCTAATTACATGCAGGATTCAAAGTTCTGAAGATCAGGTGGAAACTTGCCCCCCCTTCCCCCGTGATTTGCAGTATCCTGTGGTCACGTGGCCATGTTTTATGATAGTTTTGCCCAAAACTGGCATTTATTTGCAGCTTTTGGCAAAACCACATCCATAGTGAACTTAATGACTATGGCAGCCACTTTACAACCACATCTGTTTAATGACTGCTGCAAAAAAAAGGTTGTAAATTGAGGTCAGTCACATAATAGTGACTTACCAAAGATGGCCAGACTTCATCATTCTGGTCATAAGTCAAGGACCACCTATATCTGATCCAGGACTACCTTTTGATATGTGTTGGCAACTGGAGACTTGAATCTGCATTTTTCAATTCTGGTCTAAGTATTTCACAGTATGCTAAATCTCTACCCAACTTTTGTATTCTGGTAGATTTTTGTCTTGGAGATCAATTTTATCTCCATAAATCTCCCCGAGATACTCAGATCTTTTGATAATTATAGAAGATTTTGTATTCATTGAACAGTTCTTTATAAAGGTAAAGGTTCCCCTTGCACATATGTGCTAGTCATTCTCAACACTAGGGGGCGGTGCTCATCTCCGTTTCAAAGCCGAAGAGCCAGTGCTGTCCGAAGACGTCTTCGTGGTCATCTGGCCAGCATGACTAAATGCCAAAGGTGCACGAAACGCTGTTACCTTCCCACCAAAGGTGGTTCCTATTTTTCTACTTGCATTTTTACATGCTTTCGAACTGCTAGGTTGGCAGAAGCTGGGACAAGTAACGGGAGCTCACTCCGTTACGCAGCACTAGGGATTCGAATCACCGAACTGCCGATCTTTCTGATTGACAAGCTCAGCATCTTAGCCACTGAGCCATCACATCCCTCAATCCTTTAGTGCAAAACCCTAAATTGCCTTTCAGTACCTATGCTCCAGTGAAGAGAGTGCTAAGCATCAGTTTTTTGGGCTCAAGAGTAATTTGGAGGCCATCAGTTCCAGGACAGAATTGTTCTAGAAACAGGAGAGATAGGGCTTCCGCTTCTCAAGAAAGGGGTCTCTTTTTGTCCTTAATTCAGTGTTTCTCTAGCAAGAAATGTCAGCTGCAGAGTTTTATGAGAGGAGTACTGAGATGACCTTGGAAAGGTTCACTGAGGCTATTAGCAAAATATGAGCTCAGCCCTGGAAAACAAGAAAGCATAACACTGCCCCTCCTTGACTCTCTCTGATATAAGGTAAAATGACCTCGGAAGACAGGAGAAGAGTCACAGGCAACTCTCCTGCAAAAGGTATGTCAGCCAGAGAAAAAGGCAGTACAAGAACCATGTCAGAAGGGACCTCCTTAGTTTTCTGGAAAATAAAAGTAAGGGAGGGGAAAGGCTGAGTGCCAAAGAATTGAGGCCTTTGAACTGTGATGCTGGAGAAGACTCCTGTGAGTCCCTTGGATTGCAAGGCGGTCAAACCGGTCAGTCCTAGAGGAGATCAACCCTGAGTGCTCTTTAGAAGACCAGATCCTGAAGATGAAACTCAAGTACTTGGGCCACCTAATGAGAAGGATTCACTGGAGAAGAGCCTAATGCTGGGAACGATTGAGGGCAAAAGAAGAAGGGGACAACAGAGAATGAGATGGATGGATGGAGTCACCGGAGCAGTAGGCATGATCTTAAATGGACCGCAGAGGATGATAGAGGACAGGAAGGCCTGGAGGAACATTGTCCATGGGGTCGCGATGGGTCGGACACGACTTCGCAACTAACAACAACAAACTGTTACTTAACCTTAGAATAAAAGTCATGTCAGTACTCATGGTTTGGATTTCTTGTGTGGACTGCTTTAAAGGGATGAACCAGTGGTGGGCTGCTGTCGGTTAAGACTGGTTCAGGTGAACCGGTAGTTGCGACCTGTGGGTAGGCCTGCCCCAGTGCTGTGCTATTTAGCCCTGTTTTTGATGCCGTGCGCACACACACTCATGTGCGGATGGCGTGGGCATGCAACCAGCCAACCAACCGGTTGGGCTGACTGTTTCTTATGATATCTGTTCCTGATCTCAGAGGGTTGACAGTTTTTGAGACTCTTGATCAAGACCATGCAACCCAGTCACAAAGAATCCTTTTTATTGTTTTTACTATCTGTTTCTACGCGCTCTTGTCTTTAGGCCCAAACCTCACCACTGTCCAAACTGATCAGCAAACCGACATGAAACTCTGTGAGGAATTTCCACATTGTTTTTGTACTTCGGGTTCGCCCTTCCATGTGCATTTTTTAGGAAGTAGGCGGAATTCAGGCTGAGTCATCCTGCCTTCATATCAAGTCCCGAGTTTCAAATATACAATTGTAATCAACATTATTGTAGAGAAGGCAATTTGCATCTTGTTCGCCACCTGGTGGCCAATCAATTCCTTTTCCCATTATTACATTATAACAGGGCTATCCAACCTTGGCAACTTTTAAGACTTGTGGACTTCAATTCCCAGAACTCCTCAGCCAGCATGTATTCCACACAGGAATTCTGGGAGTTGAAGTCCACAAGTCTTAAAGTTGCCACGGTTGAACACCCCTACTTTATTACCTAATAATACATGTAAAAAAATTAGAAAAAAATATTTCTAATAAAAGTTCTAATAAAATATTTCTAATAAAAGTGCATCTAAAAATGTTGTGTATCAATCAGATGAATACTTATTTGGAAATATAGGTATAGACATTCACAGGCATGGTCATCAAAGCTGAAGCTACCTATAGCTTATTAACAAATAATAGGTTTGGTGCTGTAGATTTTATTTATTTATTGCTGCGCATCATTTCAATGCTTGGGCATTCTAAAATGTATGGGATGGTTGTGACTTGCATGTATACATTGAAAGTTAACCTGATAATAAGCAATTCAACATCTACGGAAAAGCCTTGATGAACATTTTGTATGTAAATATGAATGCACAATAATTATACATCCTGTCTTGAAATGCCCTCTTCCTATGTTGTGCACGGCAAATTAAAAACTACCGTATATACTCGAGTATAGGTCGACCCGAATATAAGCCGAGGCACCTAATTTTACCACAAAAAACTGGAAAAGTTATTGACTCGANAGCCACTCCCACCCAGTCACATGGCTGGCAAGCCACTCCCACAAAGCAGGCCACATCTACAGAAGAGGTTCTAAAAATTTTTGAAACCCACCACTGGTGTGCATGCACAGAAAGTGTTCTGCATGCCACTTCTGGCACACGTGCCATAGGTTTGCCATCAAGGTCTTACACCATTATAACATAACTTTCTTTTTTTTTCTATCGTCTGCAGCACTATTTTTTCTAATCAACTCATATATCATAATTTCATTTTTTTATATTTCACTCCAAAAGTGGAAAAGGGGTTTCCAGTTGGCATTAAAATTAAACTTTTCTGTACCCAATTTAGCCATTTCAAGAAGCTCCTTCACCTTCACCATCCACTCTTCCATTGTGGGTAATATCAAATCTTCCCATCATTGTGCATATAAAAGTCTTGTTGCTTCCTGCTAAAATTTCAGTACATCCTACCTTCTTGCTTTTTACCATTATTACTTTAATTATAGATTTGCAGGTTTCATGGATTGATTAAATCTTGTACATTTCTACGCCACTAAAAAGGAAGTGTCAACTGGTTCAGTGCTGCAACTCTCAGGAAAGTGTCAATCAAATTGCAATCTGTAAATTCAGTATCTAGAATATCTGGAAAATTTGGATGCCAATCTTTGCCCAGTTCTGTCTCACTGGATGATTTGGTAGCTTACCTCATCAAATTGCTTTAATGTTTCTCATTTCTTATAGGGAAGGATAAAAAATATAAGTACATTTCAAAGGAAAATGATATTTTTGAAGGATTGTTGGCCGAGGATCTTTAAAATCATGGAATGTTTCCATGTTTTCTATTAAGAATGACACGATTTGACTTTATATAAATCTCCCTATTTTTTATTGACTGCAGTAAGACTTCCTTTCCCAAGGAAAAATTCTCTAATCCATGAAATATCCCTCCTTAGTAATTATTTCAACCAGAGGCCATATTCTGCCGGTTCTAACGGGTTTGCCAAACCAGTAGTGGAAATCGCGGGTGGCCTCACGCATCCGGGCTCTACGGCATCCCATTAAGGCCCTTTTTAAAGGTAAAGTGCACGCATAGAAGGAGTGCATGCACGGACATGGTGCTTGCGAGTG